CAAAGCATCCGTTTTCATCGCATTCACAATCATAATCATCATCCTTCCTCATCTTATCGATCGTTGGCCATTGCCGCGCTTGTTTGCGACACAAAATATCCTTCTCTACAAATCGTTGGATTAAATAAGATATACAACAGCCAAATTTAGCAGAATAAGTGAATAAGTCATATTAAGTAGATACCCGGGATCCCCTTTTCCTTAACTCGGATACACTATCACCGATTACGTTAAAACAAAAACAAAAACAAAAAAATAAACGATTCGCAAAAGTTTCGCGCTTTTCACATCCTGTCGCAAGTATCGGTCTTGTTGTTCGACGCGGACCACAAAAATAAAGACGCGAAATCTCGATTGAATTGCGATCGCGCAATCACGATCTGGCGACTTCATGTACATAAATCGACGCTTCATGCGGAGATACAAGTGCCGATGTACCTTTTTCTCTTTAGCTTTTCATCTCATCGAGAATTGCGTGTTTATCGTTAAGGTCTTAAACAACAATCTAAGCAACAATATTCAGTCTACGAGAACCTTGCAGTCGCATACACAATTCATTTTTTTTTATTTTTTTATTTTTTTAGATAAACATTCATTTTCTTTTTAGATTCGATGAAGTAGTCTCGATGTACGTAGTTGTCGATGTATTAAAGAACGGTGTAGCTATTACGATATTTTTTCCAACAGAAGAAAATCTTATCGAGCGTAAGAGTAACACTTATCGTTAGAAGGATCTTCTCGATCGGAGAACGAGCATTTCCGAATTTTTGGAGAGAATCTCTTCTCTTTCACAACCGCGCTCACAACCGAGAGAATTTGCGGACCCTTCTTGTGCTAGAAAGTACTACTGTTAGAATATACACGTCAAATATCAAACACACCATCCCGCCATCGATCGTTTCAACTGGAACGAACGACCCTTAGGAAAAAGAAAGAATAGTAATTAACAACTACTTCTTTTTAGAGAGCCATGACTTCGCGGAAAGTTATCCGCGAATAAGTCTCTCAATAAGTACTTACAATTAAAAAGAAAAAAAAAAAAAGAAAAAAGACAGATATTATGGTGAGTAAAGGCCGAATTAAACGTCATCGCTGACATCGATAACTCGATATTCTTTGTCACTTGATTAGATTCGAACGTGCGCGCATTTTTATTCATATACGGCGCAGGTGTTTCTATCTAAAGTGAAAGAACGTGTGCCTCTAACAAATACACTTACAGGATAGATTATATTACGGTTACATTAAAAAGTTATTGCTTAAAAAAATATGGCGACGGTATGTAAAATTCGCAGAGTCGAGCAAATCTGCTTATATACGAGCGCCTCAGCGCGGCACCTTCGCGCTCGCATGTCGAAATTGTCGAATCTCTAAAATCGTGTATCTTATAGAAAAGTGCATTAACGGTGCCGACGAATATATAGAGATTATTTCGAGCGAGACGTGCGGGCATTAATGTTCGAAGTACGAGACGTGCGTTCGTCATCACGGCGAAGTTTTTCGCGGATGAAAACGTAGTTTTAACAGAATCACCGAGATTAAAAAAGCTTTGAGCCTTCTCTTGATTTCCTTAAATTTTGCAAACAGAAAAAAAATACTGCCGACGAAGATGAGCATCTCATTTGCGATACAACTGGTAATCTCGACGGTCTAATTGCAATTGCTAAGGCCCATTTTCACAATGTATGGTTACCTAAAGGTTAAAAATTACCAAGAAGTTTATTATTTAACCACGTTTGATTAGGACTTAACCATCAAGTTAACTTGGTCAACTCAACTGATAATGTACACGTAACCTTTAGTTTATTTGATTATAAGCTTATTGAAGTGTGTTTTAATTAACTTTCAAGTTTTAGTTAACCTAACTTTTTCGTTAACCATACAGAAATAACGATTTTGTTGAAAGGTCTAAAAATTTTGCTAAAAACAGATCTGAAAATAATTTTTTGTTGAATTATTAAAAGAATTTGTTGGAATTTTAAAACTGATAAACATTGCTATAAAACGTTTTGATGTTCTAGCAGTCATTTTGACTTTCGCACAAAATTATTTTGATTATTGAACAAAAATTATTTTCAGATCTGGATTCAGCAAAATTGTTCTTTCCGTGATATATTACAAAAATGGGCGTAAAAGAGATCCAAATTACTTTTAGTTTCTCCGACAATTGGAGACCGTCGAAAGAAATCACGGACGACTCCTCCTGTTATCTGGATCGGAGAATTCGACTTGTGTCATGCTTTGCGAAAACGTGCGTGCGAACGTATACGCACGCATAATTGACGCATTATAAGTGACACGTGTGCGTGCGAACACATGCGAGCCACGACAGACGCATGTTTCGCACGCAAGGGTAACGGACGTATGAGTATAATGCAACGTAAATGGCCGTAAACTGGCGGCCATTTACGTTGACACTTCACGATTTTAAGTTGGCGGAAACGCCTGCACCCGAGAGTATATACCTATATCGTTTAACGAACGTGATGTAACCTTCCGAGGATCTCTACGCGAAAGAACGCTCCTGCTTCTGTCAAGACGCAACAGGTCGCGTGTTGAGTAACGTACGTTAATTTCTGCTTTCCCGCCGAGGTGCTTCAACATGATAAAGCGATTGCACTCCGATCGCCTTTCTTTAACCGTATATGTATATACGCTCGAAGCGAGCTGTAACTTAAACCAAATTTGTGGGTTACGGTAATGAACCAGGATGCCGAAAATTACAGGATATCTGGCCGTCATCTGATAGGCGCGTATCACCGTGTATGTACATACACACGTCGTCGTCTCCGTCTACCGACATCTGACGCGCGACATCCCACACGCAACGGAAGGATCGCACGGAGTGCGTGCCATTTCGTGTATAATGTCTCGCGCGATAGTTAATTAAAAGTCAATCATCTGGAGCACCGCCGTTTATGATATACCCGTGAGAATTTTTCTCTTTGCAATTCAGACATTCGCGTGGCGAAAGTAAAATGGTACTTCTCTTTACGCAGAGCCTGTTGAAACGTCTGAAGAACTCCCACGCACGAGATGTATAATAAACTAATCATATATCGTGTGTGTTTGTGTTATTATTGAATTAATTCTAACTAGATTTCTAATCTTACTAAACTATCTAGGCAAGAAACAGAAAGTTTCTTTAAGAGCTATAACATATCTATATATGTACGAATCGAAAGAAAATTTAGTCATAAAATTCGAGCATGAAATACGAATCCTCAAGTGTGAACTTGTGTCCGTAAAAGCCCGCTTAATATGTAAATTAATCCCTCACTTACAAATTAACGATGAATGACGATAAATTTGGCGCAGCACGGCGCAACACATGCTCATTACTAAAACGCAGATTCATTTGCGGAAAGGAGCCATTACTCTATGATAATATTCGGGCTGTGCATAAAATTGTTGTTGCTCGAAACGTGTTTCGCGCGAAGCAAGAGAAACGGGAGGGGGGACAGGGGTGGGACAGGGACGTCGAGAAAAGAAGCAAGCAGAAGAGAATGAGACTGCATATCGAAGGGACAGTGTTTTTCGGTGCTCTTATTTGCAAATTAATTTGCCGCGAGCTGGAGCAACCAGTTTTTGAGCGGCTATTTTATTACACCGCCTCGCACGACTGACACATCCGCCGATTTCGCGATTATGCGCGCAGATGCGCTCGCCGGCGTACGAAAAATTTTAATTATCGTAGAACAGCGGCCGATAATTCGTCGCATACGGCGCGAAAAAAGAATTTTCATATGGACTGAATTGACGGTAAAATTAACAGCTTTGCTCATCATCAAGTTTAATGATTTAGTCATCGCTGCGATAATGACTTTAAGGTTTGACACAATATTAGGCGGAAAAAGGAGATTGTCATCACATATCCGATCTTTGAGCATTGGACAAGCACGATTTGCATGAATATGTAGTTTAAAAAGCGACACTTTTGCTCCGCTTTTGAGAAATAGAAAGATTTTAAAGTTAAAATTTAAAAATTTGAAAAATCTATCGAACAGATTAAAGTGTTGTACGTGATCGATCGACGATTGAAATGTGGATGTCTTATCATGCTCGGTCCATGCATGGCTACACGTCTCGCGCCTTCCAGTAATATTTAACAACGGATGTAAATCGGGAAAACAGCGTTTACGATAGTCAAGTATATATGTGTTATATTTATGAATAAAGCAGAAAGCATCGAAATTACTATAGTAAATGTAGTTCATCGATTAATTCGGCCAACGCCTCGCCTGCGTACGCGCGGCCACACGCGTCGGGGGGAGGGGGGGGGGGAGAGGAATAACCAGCGAATAAAATCGTCGCTCACGATCGGACAGATTCCTTGATCCGTTTGACGCCTGTCGCGCCTGTCGGTCGTCTCTCTCTCTCTCTCTCTCTCTTTCTCTCTCCGCAGCGGGAGCTCGTCGCTGCTTTTGCATCTTTGCCGGTCGCGTTAACTCGCGCCGAATTTAAAATGGGCGGACACGTGAGGTGAAACGCGGAACGCGAACTCGCCCGGCAAGAAACGGCTCGAGGAGAGCCGGCAGAAGCGGCATGTCGCGGCGCGGCGTTCCCGTTCTCCGGGATCCTGCTTGATCGAGGCTGCCTCGCGGGAGCTCTGCCCCGCCATGCGTAACATCAGGCTCCGTCGATTTCGTTTCGCTCGAAAATCGCGCGCGCGGCGATCGTGTATATACATATGCATACAACTCAGCGTTTCCACTTCCTGAGAAAACGCGAGTGATCGCTTGGAAACGAACGAAATTACGCTCCGCGGATCTTGCCGACCTCCTGTTTGGGTTCGCATGACGATCCACGATCGTTCGATCTATTACCGCGGCGGTAGATCACGATGGCCATCGTGAGATTGTTCGTTAGAGAAGCGGAAACTCTTTGCCGAAGCTTTCGTCCTCTCACGATCGGGGTCCGCGATCACGATCGAAGATTAAGAGCGAAAGACCGAATGGAAAGCGCCGAACGGGGAACATGCCGCGGAACTGACACGACGATTTTTTTTTTTTTCAAGAGTTCCTCGATTCCCGACCGGCTGCGATTAGCTCGGTCCACTGGGTATGTAGCAGCGTTGACCGCACACCTCGCGAAGCGATGTCCGAAACGAGTTGGCGATGATCGATAGTCGGGTCCAATGCTCGTCCCGATAGCCGTTCTGTCACTTCGGAGGCGACGCGATTTTCTTTGGATTCGACACGTTTTCCTCGTCGATTTACTTCACTGATTGTTAGCGATCGATCTGAAAGCAGAAGAAGAAAACGTTCGAAGTAAACAAAAGTGCGAAGTAAAAAATGGATAATGATGGCAACATGACAATATACGATAATGTCGATCAATCATTTCCAAGACTTCGTAAAACATCGTGTTTTGTATGTTCGTTTTAATTTCACTCGCTATAATATATCTATTTTTCTAATTTTAGTTAATAAGTTTCATTAATAAGTCATCGAAAATGGCTGATGCTATTTTATTAATATAGTAGAGACTCTATAAAGAGAAACTCGTTAATTCATCACGTAACTGTTAATCAATTCTGATTGGCTGAAGAGTATATCTGTCAAATTGTATGCTTATGAAGCCAAGATTTTCTTTTATATTCATCATTTTTAAATATTTCTTGTTGATCAGTTTTATCTTATCAAATCAAAATTATAAGAAAAATAAAATTAAATAACAATAATATAAAATTTACAAAGCGTATAAATAATGAGACAATATAAATAACAAATATAATAAAATGTTATATATGTATATATTTATATATGAAATGTTATACAGTAGAATTTAACTATTCTGCAATACTGTATATCTGGTGCACCGAGGCGTTTCAATAAATCTCGAACGTTGTTTTGAACGTCCCTGAAAAAACCTCGAATTGTGTGAAATGAAATGGAGTGTGTAAATTGATAATGGAGAAGTAGTAAATGGATAACCAAGTTCATATTTCATAGTGAGCATTTCTTCGAAAACTTTGTAACAGTTTTTTATTATTGTAATTTTTCCAGGGAATATCCTGATATATTTTTACCTAAAACAACATTCAACAATATTAAATTATTATCTAATAAATACATATATATATTTATTACACTTATTATTTATATTATTATAATTATTTATGTGTTTTATATTTATTTTTTATTTAATCTTATGTTTCTTATAATTTTGATTAGAAAGAATATATTTACTTATTAACAACTGTTTAAAAAATAAAAAAATAAAAAATATATATATATGCAAAATAATATATTAATATGTATATTTTGCCGTTATAATCAATTTTACTGTCTATAATCAACAGAGAAAGAAATCTTTCATATAGGTATACAATTTGACAGATATACTCCAGTTAATCAGAATCGACTAACAATCACGTGATGAGTGTGCGAATCTCCCTTTGTTATTTATTTATCTTTTTATATTTATCTTCTATTTATATTTATCTTTTTATTTCCAATTTATAGGATTTAAAATGTCATTATTGCGAATGAGCCGCAATAACAATTGCCAGATGTTGAGATTATAACCACAGGAATAATTATGATAACGTAAACAAATTGATCCTGTGTTACGTAATAGGATTTACGTAACACGTCACGTGCTCAATTCTACGACGCACAGTATCCGAGATTCAAAGAACGCGGAGTAGTTCGTATGTAATTTGCTTGAAAATGTAATAAAACCAACGCGATCACCGCATTCACGCGGACTCTATCCATCTTGGATACGTAATTCCTTCGTCCTTCTATTAAAAATGTCATTATTTTCAAAACAGTTGGATAATAATTCCGTTTAACTGTGACCACTTCAATCGCTTTTTAATTATCGCCTGTGTATTACCTGCGATCTCGAAAAAAAAAGAAGTGTAATTGCTATTTGCCACAGCTGCGATTAAAGTGTCAGCTGTAATGAGAGGATAAAAAAATGTTTAGACATATCTATGCCACTTGAGATTCGCAATATTACCAGGTAAATCGCGTTGTTTTATTGCGGCTGACAACGTTTTACTGACGTAAATGCACGTTTGCCAAACGCGCATTTACTGACATGCAATGTAAAAACGCGGCATTATTTTCAACTATATACGTTCAAAGAATTCATTGCCATGTTTATTGATGTCCACGAAAACGCTTATTTGCACTTTTCATAGCAAAACAACACAACAAGAACTTGTCTCACTCTTGAATTAACAAAGCAATAGAATATTTGCTTGCTTATAAAAAATTATTTTGTCCATCATATACTAACTTATTTCATTATCGCATTTAATTTATTTACAATACAATTACACCTCGGAAATTTTCTCCAAATAGTTTCACGAAGATTGTCAAAAATTTACAATATATGTAAAAACGATAATTGTTATTTTAGCCAGATTATCGTAAATTTGTTATCATTTAAGTCATTATTAAAACGATCCCGTGGAGACCGAGCTCAAACCAATCGTTTAATAATACAAGCGACAACACCAGCACTTACCAGTAACGCGAAAAAAATTACCGAATGCCGGAAACCGCGGGCCTGAGAAACGGAGCCCGGGGAGAAGTTAACGACCGCCATGCCGGCTTATCCGGCGGATATTAAATCTGGTAGCGGGACATTTCTCATTCGAGAAGTTTTCTCAGAGAGGCGAGCCGGCGCGGCGAGAGAAAACTTACCGCGATGCTTTAAAGATCGTCGGGTCGCGAACGCGAAGGGGAGGGAGGCGGACAAGCAGTACACACACACGCACGCACGCGCGCACGCACGCACGCACGCAAGCACGCGCGCACGACACACACACACACACACACACACACACACACACACACATATATATATATATATATATATATAACGTCCGCTGCCGGTCGTGCGCTCGATGGATGACGCTGTAGATCTCATCAGCCGCCGTCGCTGCGAGATCGTGCGGCGTGGCAGCGCGCGACGTTCTCCCTCAGGGTGAACTCTCCGAGTTGGCGAAGAGTCGTCGAGCTCCGCGCGGCTGACCGCGCGATCGTTCGCTCGCCTCGACGATC